TCCAAATAAGGCAAGTGCAGGATCCTCCGGTTTAGAAACTTAATAACTTTCAAACCGAAATAGATATTGGCAATAATCCAATTTGATGAGTACCAAGGTTGAGTCAAGATTGCATGCCAAGTTGATTCGTAGCTTAATTCCTCCTGGATCAGTGGGAAACCTCCAATAACCGCTCGCATGTCCGATTCGGGAAGGTTCCGGTTCACCCGACTTTGAACTTGAATATCTCCTTCGTATGAAAACATTTTGGACCGAATCCAATTCCTCGCGCGTCTGGATGAGTTGAGAATCCAAAACAGTTTGTTGCTTGGTTCATCCTGGTTCGTCCGGAATGACTCGATAAGTGATCGTATGTCTTCATCGAGCTCATTGAAGATCCACCAAATTGTATCTTCAATAACTTCTTCATAGAAAATCATTTTTGGCTGATTCTTCTTCGTGGTGAACTCTAGGTGAGTTGTGTATGCTCTCCACGTCTTGGTTGAGTCTGAATGCATGGAGGGATTGAGGTCTTGAAGGAACAAATCATGAAAGATGGTCTCTCCTTTATTCATGACATGTTCCCCAAGGGAGATCGTCTCTCCTTTACCCTTGGCTAGACCATCATGTCCGTTGATCCTCAGCTCCATTGTTGATTCTATCCTCAGTGTTGCATCATACTCTCCTTCTTCAAAAAGTTTTGTCCTCAAAACTTGTTTATCTGCACATAGATAAGTCAAGTTAGTATCATGGATTATAGGAGAGCTTACATTCTTACCTTGAGGTGGCTCTAGTTTAGTGAGGGGTGGAACGTCAGGGGGTTCTCATTTGAGCAAGTATGATAGGATTACTCTTCTGTTCAGGTCTGGTACGATTTTCTCTTCTTTAGTGAACTTGGTAATGATCACCATTGGGTCCAAATCTTTCATCACCAATTGGTTTTGTAACAAATTTCTTCTGGTGGATTTCCTCTGCAGCTTATTCTTTTAGTTCCTGCAATAAGATTGACAATTTGGACAAGAAACAAGTGCATTATGGATTCTTTAAGATAAGATAAACTAGTTAAATCAAATTCATTAGCACTAGTTGCAACAAGATTTTTTTTTTACTTGTGATTTTAAACAAATTAATTTCTCATGATCTTGTAAGTTTAATAAATCTTTTAATACAGCTGTGCAACTATTAGGAACGAATTGAGTTAAAGAGAGACTTACCTGGCTAATACTGAAAGTGTTTGGAGCTTGATCTGGTGGTTTTTCTTTGATATCTTCCTTTTCTTTATCCCTTTCATCAGTCTTCATGCTTAAGACTTTTGTGAGCTCTTGTATTATATTTTGCAGTGCTGGGGACATATTTCGTGACTAGAGCTCCAGTTCCAGATTCTTGATCTTCTTTAATACCTGTTTCAGAATTTCTTGGCAAAGACAAGTGCATTATACTAGAATTGGAAATTTTAAGAAGTTCAATATTTTCTTCTTCTCTCCTAGTATCTTTCTTTTCTGTTTCAGGATGTGAAGTTCTATCTACCTTTCTAGATGGACATATCTTAGCAAGATGACCTCTTTGATGACACCTATAACATGTCATATCTTCTATCTTAGAAGGTTGGGAAGACTTACATTGCTATGGTTTGTTGTGGGGTTCAAGTAATGGAGTTGAACTTGTCTTTTGTACTCCATCTTGTAGTTTTGAAGATTGGTGAACGTCTTCTGCTGGTACAACACACTTAGTTGGCATCTTTTTCTTGTGAATGTTGTGCAACACGTTCTTTGGCTTAGGACCATAAGCCTTCTTTGCTCTTGGTTTTGGGGTTTCTGCAAGAACCCATCTTCTTGGTTTAGTGTAGGAATAACTTGTCACATGGTGTTGATTTTGAGCAGCAGCTTTCTTCACAAACTCCTCATAGATTTCTACTTTTAAACTATCCCATGTATGAGCTGGCTCTTGGTAATAAACTCTGGCATTCTCCTCTTGTTCCCACCACTCATAAGCTGGCCCAATAAGGGTGTCAAGGGCGTAGGGAAGTTGTTCATCCAATGGCACTTGACTATGTTGAAAGCTGGCCTCCATGGCTTTTTCCCACTTTATGTAATCTTCTATACCTTAGCTATAACCAGAATAGGTTAAGTATTGTGACCCAAAACATTCATCTTCTTCAGTGCAATGATCTGAGGGCTCTTCTTCTTCAGCCTTATTGTCTTCTTCTTCACTCTCATGGTCATAGTGATGCTCATCTCCACGTTCTGTCTCTCCAAAATAACTTGCTTCTGATGCAATTTCATGGTTCCAAGGTTCTTCATCATACTGTTCAGTTTCTCCTAAACTGATTTGTGAATTAGTTTCTTCTTCAAGTGTGTAAGGCTCCACGAACTGGTCTTCATGATTGAGTTCTCCATGGTCAGCTTCAATTTCGTGGTCTCCTTCTCCTACACTGATTTGAGAATTAGTCTCTTCTTGCCATGAGCCCCTTTCATGGTTTTCTTCTAAGTCACCTTCATAGTGGCTTGTATCTTCATGGCTACAGTCTGGTGGTTTAGGCTCAGGTTCTCCAAAACGTGGCTCATCTCCAAAGTCAGAGGGTGAGTAATCATCTCCATCCCACGCTTCTTCTCCTCCATAACTGACTTCAGAATCAGCTTCTCCACTCCATGAATCATTCTCATAGTGATCTTCTTCTTCCATTGAGTGTTGGCTTGTCTCTTCTCCCCAATCAATTTCTGAGGTGTTGACTTCACTCCTCTCATCTTCTTCATACTCCATAGCTTAAGGTCGTGTGTGTACCTTGCTAAAGAGAGATGAGAAGTTCAAACCCTGACTTAATGCACTAGAAAATAAAATATGCAAAATTAAAAACAAATAACAAGAAAAAGAAAATAACACTTTTGTTTGATGGGTTTTTTTTTAAAATAAATGGAAATATAATAAACAAAAACTAAACAAATTTTTCTTTTCTTTTTATGGGATAGGACAAAAAATTAACAAAATAAATTTTTATTTTTGTTTTTGAATTTATAAAGATAAACAAGCTATAAAAAGACAATTATTTGGATTTTCTGATTTTATTTTTTTAAAGGAAGTAAAAATAATTTGCAAGTAAATTTTTTTTTTAAATGAAACAAATATTCAGACAAAAAAGCAAAATATTTTTTTATAAATTTTTATATTTTATAGAAATTCAATTAAACATAAAAACAAAACAAGGAACACAAAATTTTTTTTTGTACTAGATGAAAAATAACAAAACAGAAAAAAAAAAAAAAATAGAGGTTGGATGAACACAACCTGATGGATAGGATATTTAAAACTCTGATACCAGATGATGTAAGACTCGGTGTGAGAGTGTTACAAAGATCAGAGTAGATGGCTTGATGGAGTCTACACACTAGCTTTAATGCTCTCTTGTGTTGACTGGTGGGTGGAAATGGTAGAACAAGGCTTGTAAACAATCCTTGAGCCGAGATGGGGTTTGTTGAATGAATCCACACTTAACCACAAAATTAACAACTTGAATCCACAAGTTACTCACTCCGCAAAACTGAAAGGAGTTTAGTGAATCCACACTAACACTCAAATGAAAAGAACACAAAGATAACTTACTTTGTAAGAGAAAATTAAAAAGCTTTGATTTAAATTCAATGATCAAGGGTGATTACAAATGAAATACTAAGTGAGCTTATATAATACTCATTGCAACGTTCTAAAAGCTAAAGAAAGAAACAGAATTGATAAAATTAAAGAAAACTAGCTGTTAGGCTTTAAATGCTTAGGCCAAGAGGGAAACTCGTGAGTTCTTATATCTTGACAGCTTCTGGATGATTTCATGGCTTGTTAATCTTCTATTAACTCTCTGGATATGGACCGAATCAATATAGAGCCGTTGGTAAGTGATTGCTCCAAATGTGAATGCTCTGGAAGCCGGATATGGAAAGTGTTGAAATATGAATGGCCAAGGTAGAATCCGGCTGATTCTCTGGATGCTGGTGCAGATAAAAACGGCTTTTGAAGCTTCTAGATGGTTGAGACTGTCTCTTGGTCGCCAAAGATATGTTTGCAACCTCTCAAACTCGGAAGGCTCCAAATAAGGCAAGTGCAGGATCCTCCGGATTAGAAACTTATAACTTTCAAACCAAAATAGATATTGGCATGGATCCAATTTGATGAGTACCAAGGTTGAGTCAATATTCCACGTCAAGTTTATTCGTAGCTTAATTCCTCCTGATTCAGTGTGAAACCTCCAATAACCGCTCGCATGTCCGATTCGGAAAAGTTCCAATTCACCCAACTTTGAACTTGAATATCTCCTTCGTATGAAAACATTTTGGACCGAATTCAATTCCTCGCGCGTCTCTGATGAGTTTAGAATCCAAAACAGTTGAATTTGTTGCTTGGTTTATCCTGGTTCGTCCGGAATGACTCGATAAGTGATCGTATGTCTTCATCAAGCTCATTGAAGATCCGCCAAATTGTATCTTCAATAACTTCTTCATAGAAAATCCTTTTTGGCGGATTCTTCTTCGTGGTGAACTCTAGGTGAGTTGTTTATGCTCTCAATGTCTTGATTGAGTCGGAATGCATGGAGGGATTTAGGTGTAGAAGGAACAAATCATGAAAGATAGTCTCTCCTTTATTCATGACATGTTCCCCAAGGGAGATCGTCTCTTACCCTTGGCTAGACCATCATGCGTTGATCCTCAGCTCAATTGTTGATGCTATCCTCAATGTTGCATCACCTCCCCTGACTTGGAGACCAGCAACTTGATGTCATTTCTTGCCTGCTTGTCGGTAACCATTTTATGATAAAAAGAGGAATTTTTGTCTCCATCCTGAAGCCACTTGATGCAAGATCGCTGCTTAAAGAATTCCTCTTCCACCAAAGTGAGATTGGGGTTAGGAGCTTCACTGGCATATGCCATTGTAGAGGAGATTGGTGTTAGGAGCACTGGATGTTGCTTCTCGCATAAGTCGGAATATGCTTGCTTTGTGCGGTTAGGCAGATCCCCGTATTGAGTCCCGTTGAGTTTTCAGAGCCCAAACTTAAGAGATTTCAGCTGTTTGTGGAAACGATATAGTGCTGCTCGTGAATGAAAAGTAGGTGGATGTTCATGCCACACTTGTTTCACTGTAGGGATAAATCTCTGATGGTCAGTCAGGTAGTTACAAAACTTAATGGGTTTTCGAGATACCGTTTTTTGTTGCACCAAGCGAATGAGATATCTGGCATGACCAGAGATTCCACCGGTTTCAAAATTGGCATATGATTGTAGAATGCTTTGCAGCCACAATCCATTTACTAAAGCTTTATCTAGCTTCTTCCCAACTGGGTCTCCCGTTATTTTATTCCACCAGGTAAAGATTGAGCCCACTGCAGGGAGATCCGGAAGGCTACAATAGGCAACAAGATTTTGAAACTGGCACATACCCACTTGTCTAGCAGTTTGATCATAACCCATCGAGTGTTCACTTGTAGCTAGAGCTTCATTAAAATCACCGAGCAAGATCCACAGAACTGAGACATAAGCATAGGCATTTTCAGTAGCTCGCACTTCATCCCAGAGATTTCGCTTGTCAGACTCAAAATTAAAGGTATAGACCACTGAACACATGAAGTCAATACCCGTTTCTTTCACCTGATTCGCACAAATGATGATTTGAGCTTTTATACAGTAGAGTCACCACCACTGATTCGGACAAGCAAAACCATATACGCCCCAACCGATGACACTCGTAATTTGTAACAGAATTCCATCCTGAAAAAGCTGACTGCATAATTCCTTGATGATATTCCTGTTGGAGCATAGTTTCCACGATACAACCAAACGCTGGTTTCACAGCCTGCAACCATTTCCTCATCACCTCGTGTTTGCGTGGTAGATTGAATCCACGCATATTCCAAAATAAAAGGGACGCCATAGTTTTCGCAAGGAAACTTTTTTGTTTTGGTTATGGAGCAACCGAAGTTCTTTCGTACGGGCGACAAGCTTCTTTTAGGTTTTTTTCCCTGGTTGACTCTTTGGCAACTTCTTATGATGATCATGAGTATCGGCAGGGCATGTCTCAGAACCCCCCCCCCCCCCACCCCCCCCTTCTCCTTTACAACCTCTCCCTCCTCAACCTCTTCAGTAGTCTCCGATGTTTCTGTTTCCTCTTGATCATCGAAAATATTTGCCAGGACATCAAACCTGGAAGAGGAGTCAAGTTTAGCTTCCGATGAATGATGTGCATCCCCCACCTTAGAGGGAGATTATCGCCTCCCTACCACAATGATACATGAGGATGGCTCTGTAGGGGTTTGTTCCACCGTAGCGAGTTTCTTGGATGTCTCGCCTTCTTTCGCAACAGCGAGATCCTTAGTACCAAGAGTTGAGCTAACCAGAAGGGTCTCCAGTTCCTTAAGCAATCCTTCGACAACCTCAAATGCATGGGACATTTCTGGGGGCTTGCTTTGAAGAATACGAACCTCTTCCTCTGGACAATATTTAGTGAGGTGACTCCATTTCTGGCATATGTTACACTGAGGTGGCAGCCAAGGGTAAATTACTTCAATATGCCCTTTTGTGCCATCCATATTGGTAATACAGATACACTCTGTAAGCTGATTTTGTAGATGAACCTCCACCAGGACCCTTGCCATATCCACATGAGTGCATCGTTCGGTATTTGGAGCAGTTTAACAAACTTCTCGATAGTGTTCGCCAAGAACTTTAGCCCGTTGGTGGAGTAAAGGTAGCTAGGGACAGACTTGAAATCGACCCAAAAGGGCATTGCTGAAAGATCTAGAGGAGATTGAGTATATGTCTGAGGTCTGATAGGGCTCAGGTTTTACCCAAATAAAACTACTGCAAGTGCACAGCAAAAGCAGTTGTAGTACAAGGGGTATCGAAATCCCAAGAGAGTAATGCAGACTACACTATCGAATGTTGATTCGGATTAAGTTAAGCAAAATATGATGTATTTAATGCGGATGAATGAATAAAAGTAAGCAAACGATTGTGTGGTATGATCTAAGTTCAAGAAGACTAAAAGCGCTAAGTCAGGGTAATTCGCAGGTTTGAATCCAAGAATGTATGATGCAGGAAATCAGGAATGATTAAGAACCGTTTTAAACATGAATCTCTAATGCATAACTAATCAATTCTCATTGTAAAAGTTATCTATGCCTAAATCACAGAGTTTCAAATCTCTTTGCAAACCCTAACAACCTAAGCATGCAGGAATGATCAGATTCAATTGTTTACAAAACTCCTAAGCCAAATCTCTTTGCACTAAGTTGCTTTGCTCATCAAATACTAGTTCAGGTTATGAATAATGCTCTCACATATATTTAACAACCTATGATTTTCAGATTCCTAGATGATGTGTCTCAGAAATTCGATTTTAAAGCAAGCAGAGATGAAAAACCATAAGATATTCCTAACAGATAGCGATTCTACACTCTTTTCATCAACCTTTGAAAAACCCTAACTTAACTAGCAGATTACTCAGACATGATTATGAGATCACAAAACATAACTGAATAAAATTGCATTAAGAGAAAGAGTAAGAAATAAAGGGGGTTCGAAATCTTCTCAAAAGAGTACAGGATTTGTCTCCCCAAAAAGCTCTGAATAAATCTCTCTCTAAGCTCTCTGAATTCTCAAAAACTAAGATCCTTTTCAACAATGGCTGAAAAACCTAATAAATAGAAGTTAAACACGATCTGGGGTCTTCATGTAAATAAAGGAAACTTCTGGGCCAATTCTACAAATCTTCTTGATACTTTTAATAAAACAGCCACGCTCCTTCCTTAATGGGTGACGAGCGTCACCAGTCTGGTGACGAGCGTCACCATATGCGATACTTTTCTGCTTCGAGCTCGGTACTTCGTGGCTTCCACTCAGAATGCTCCAAAAGGTTCCAAAATCTCCAATTATACTCCAGACATGCTATAACCTGCAAAGACTCTACTAGGACTCTAAAAAGACCAAAAAGACTCAATAAAAAGAACTTATATCATGGTTAAAAACCATAAAAACCATGATATATCAACTCCTCCAGACTTAGCTTTTGCTTGCCCTCAAGCAAACATTAGACAAAGAATAAGGTCGAGGTTTGAAAACAAGAAACAGTCAGTCAGTCATCAGGAACACCATACTAGTTAGAGCTTTCGAATCCACATAACACATAGTCAACACAAGATCAAATTTTAGCCTAATCATCACAAGCTTAGCAAATCTCTCAAATCCAATCCAAATCCCTTCAAGAAATCCGAAATTTCTACTGCTAACTCCTTATTTTTATCTAAGTGTGATATCTCATCAAGGCTCTATCATCTCAATCACTTTACAGATTCTTTTCCCTTCCTAACAACTGAACAAATCAATCTCAACACAGCTCTCCTATTTTCTCTTCCCTTAATCTTTTTTCTTAGGATATTTTCGATTTTTTCACTTCTTTTTCTCAACTTTTACAGTCTAAGATATGGTGCTACTCAATACTTGTGTTCCTTGTGAGGAGACAGGTTCTTGAGTGTGTTCACTACTGTTGTTCATTGTGAGGAGACAGGGTCATGAACGCACCATTCTATGGACTTAAACTTTTAAAAACTACATCAGGGGAGATCAAAGAGAGACTGTATCTTAACCTTATTGTCAGTGCTTAAAGAGAGAATCAAGATCAATAAGAATCAATCACCAAGACAAAAAGTTTAAAGTTCACTAAGGTGGAGCTAACAGCAAATTTTTCAGACTCTTTAAGAACCTAAACCTTCATTGCTAGACTGATCTACCTATGACTTTCAACTTAGTAAGACTTGTAATCAACTACTGTGGCAATGGTTCTTATCAGCAAAAACGTCCTATGGTTAGTTCCAAGAAAAACTAACAGTTTCAAAAATTTTGACTCTAGAAAAACAGGTTTTTTACTCAACTTTAAGACTCTATAAACATGACACAAAGCACACAACGTCAGTAACCACCTCCCCCAGACTTGAACAACACTGTCCTCAGTGTTATTAAGCCAAGAGTTGGTCAGAAAAATGAATGAGAAGTTAAAAAACCAAGTCAGAAACGTGTTACCTCGCGTGGGGTCGGGTGACGAGCGTCACCAGTCTGGTGACAAGCGTCACCACGACCTGTATTGCCCAAATCTTATGTCAGATTTTAATTAACGAAGTGTTTGCATGTGTACTCGAAAGTTAGACTTTTTGAGCATTCAAACACATAATTAACAACATCCAAACATAGCAAAAACAACCTGGTTCAACAATCTCACAAAACATCATCAAAGAAACTGACAACTGACTCAAAGTAAACATAAAAATGACTCAAGGGGAAGAAAAAATAAAAGGGAAAAAGGAACAAGTAACCAGATAGTGAGGCCTCAATCCTCATCCTCGCAAGGCTCAGTGGTGTAGTGGGGGCGGACACAACCACAGTTGCTAAGTGTAGCAACAGCATCCCATAGTCCCTCAAAGCTATCAATGACATACTCCTGAAAAGCAGCCATATCCATGGGTGTCTGTGGTCGTGGAGGACGCCTGAAAGCAGCAGAAGAACCACTCTGGCGTGTAGAAGGTCCAGCATCAGCAGCAGCAGCAGTAGAAGCAGAGGGGCCAGCTCTAGCAGCTCTAGCAGGGCGCAGAGTCAAGGGGCGCAGAAAAGTCTGTGCTGGCATGAAGAATAGCTGGCGTGGATCTCCCTGAATAGTAGTGAGGGCTCTCTGTGGCAACTTAATGCCAACATACTCTCCAAAAGTGGTAGTGAACGTCTAGACAACGCCAATATTCATCCAAGTGACATGGCGTAGATACTGGTCATCCATAAGTGATCTGTCACTGCGCAGACTGCAAGGAGTAACATCGATCTGGAAATGATGGAAGATCGGTGTCAACAAGCTGCCCACACTCTCAGTCTTCTCCCCTGGACTGGTGAATGGCTTGGTCTTCAAGGAGACCAGATGCTCAGCGAAAACAGCGCCCAAGTTGGCGCGAACCATACTATCAACAGGTATCGAATCATCCAGCATCTCATAAAGTCCGTAGTAGAGGAGAATCAGCTCACTAACTCGAGTCTTGCTGGGCGCAGACTTGCACAGAATGGTATGACCAAAGAGGCGCAGAATGTACCTCAAAACCGGATGTCTAACGTCTGCGTGCTGGTCTTGCTATCATAGACTCCATTCCCAAACTTGGACCAGAATGTCCTCATATGGGTCCACTGAGAGGGAAGGAGAACGCCTGTGGGATGGTCAGAGAAGCCATAGATCCCACAAAGCTCCATCAGACTGATCCGGTATCGAACTCCTCGGATCAGAAATGTCATAGTGCCTTCCTGCGCACGCTTCGCCAGCTCATTCGCGTAGTAGACGCGAACTGTAGAGAGAAACTGGCGGACCAAATCTGGATACAGATCGTACTGCTGGAATAGCATAGTCCCCATCCCAATGCGCTCCAGAATCTGAACAACTTCCTCAAAGATCCCCATCTTCTGCAGAACTGCAGGATCCGCGAACCGAGTGGGGATAATCTTAACTCCCAGCCACGCATTGTAGAACAGCGTGTCATACTCATCCCACTCCTCCTGAATATCACGGAATACACAGGTATCCCGGGACACTTCATGCTTCGGAGTCCCTGCCCAAGCCACTCCTGAGGCTATTTTCCGATCCTCTCGTTTGGGCCATGGGGGCCTGCAAACCGGGTGCTGACTGAAGGAATCTGTAGACCCTGTTGCAGTGCTGGAAGACGAGCTTTGTCTTGGTCGTTTCTCCTGTCGAGGCATCTGAAAATTGAAGAACAAAATCGACCAAAAACATCTCAAAAATTAGCAAATTTTTCAAAATTCGAAAAATCAACCAAACAAGATGAAATAGCTGATGGCGATTAACTACTGCACTACCAGGAACACAATTCAATCATCAGTTCAACCTAAATCAACCAAAATTTCCAAATTTTTGCAACTTGCATCATGAACTCGAAAATTCAAAACAGTGCAAATTAACCGATAAAAGCTCACAAAGATGGTTCCATTCCTCTAATACAACCTAACTAACCATGATTCAACAGTTAAATCAAGTCAATCAAGTCAAAAATTGGATTTTACCAAACCTAAGGCGGACTGAAAATTGGAGATTCCGAACACATACCTTGCAGATCGTAAAAAATGAGTGGATATTCAGAAAGATGAGCAAAATCCACACGGATTAGACTCTTGAATCACTCAATTTGGTTAAGAAAATCAGAAGTTATGAAATTCTCTATTTTGCTAAGTGTTCGGTTTTTAAAAAAAAGTGTGTTCGACAAAGAAGAAGAGAAAAGCGTTAATACCCGTGCTCGATCCTGACGGGTGACGAGCGTCACCTTAAGGGTGACGATCGTCACCACTTTTTTTATTTATTTTTTTTTTTTATTATTTTTTTTTTACTAATTAAATTTTAATTACTAATCCTAAGCACGAAAATAATAACTAAGTATTATATCTACAACTTACCAGTGGGTTGCCTCCCACTAAGCGCTTTTTTAAAGTCATTAGTTTGACTTTGGTTGGCTGTTTAGACAGCTGGTGCCTGATCCAGAGACACAATGTGTCC